ATTTTCAAAACCACCATTCTCCATCTCCATCTATTATAAATTCGCATACCAAATTAAGCTGCTGGAGATTCTCCTCACTAGCTACACCATTTGATCAACCCTCATTTTTTCTTTATACTTAAATTGTATAACATTCATTGCGATAAGGACTTACATGGGTTCTCAGCCTGCCTTGAACGTCCAACAAAAAAATATACTAAACCTTGTAGTTAGTTAATAATGAGATTCTATCATTATAAACAAACTAAGTAAAGATTAATAATTCTTAAGAATGTACTATGTTCCTCTATCTTCCACTACAAACTTGTTAGTTGTTTATTCTTACCCCCAAGGGATTTTAAAAATTAATCATCTATTTCAAAAAAAATTAAAATATTTAAATAAAATATATGAAAAATGTAATAATACATGTTTATAGATTTTAACTCAAAATGAATTTGCTTATTTTATAGTAAGAAAACAAACAAAAAAATACGACGTGCATTGCACGTGCACAAGAACTAGTTCTCGTTAAAAGTACGAGTTCAACAAAAACTTTTCATGATCAACATTGCTCTCCACTATTTTGAATATTTTATTTAAATCTTAATCTATCTAATTATAATATATATATCCTAATCCCATATGAATTACCTACAAATCAACAATTAAGAAAAGATTAATACATGAAATAGCTTCACGATATTAATTTGTTAATGTAAAAAACTAACATGATATACTCTATGAAGTATTAAAAAACCAAAAAGTTTTAAAAATTATGCAACATATCCTCAAAAGTTTAAAATTACATAAAACATCCTGACATTTAAAACTTAAAGTAACAAACATGAAATTTAAAAATTAATAGCAGCATCTAAAGAATTTAAGACTAACACCCTTAACATCTCAGAAATTGTGCAAACACCCTCAAAAGTTTAAATAATAGAAAAGATCTTGAAATTCTTTCAAAACTTGCAAATAACAAAGATATCTTTGAGGGATTACAATCAAGCACCTAAAAATTTAAAATTCGTAAAAAAAGTAACCTCAAAGTTATAAAAAATTATAAAAAACTCCTTTAAATGTTAAAATAATAAAAAAACCTAAAATTTTAAAAGTTATAACCAATACATATCAAATTTAGAGATTATCAGTAGACCACTAAAAAAATAAATTTTATAACAAATAATCCAAAGCTCCAATAATTGCAAAAAAACACCCTCAAAATTTAAAGTTGCTAGACATATCCTGACATTCGAAAACTTACCACCAACACATGAAACACGAAAATTACAAGCACTTAGCTTAAATTTTAAAATTTTTAAAAAACACTCTCAAAGTTTCAAATTTTGCAAAACACACCCTCAAAAACTCAAAATCACAAAAACAACTAAAATTTTAAAACTTAGCAAAAAAATTAGTTGTTTGATATTCTTTCATTGATATATATATATGAGAAATATGGAGAACCTTGGTACCAAGTTTCTCCATTGAACTTGATAGTGACGTGGACAGATCTAGCCCCTACATCACGCCTCGAAAATAGAGCCTTAATCACTTTTCACATACTCCAAAATAGAGGCTCTATTTTCGAAGAGTGATGCAGGGGTCAGATTTTTCCACTTCACTACTAAGTTCAATGAAAGAACTTACTATCCCTTTTCAGTATCTAAAAGTAATCTAATTGTATCGAAAAAGATAAAGGTAGAGAAGGATTGATGTCAGGTAAAAAATGATACAGAAGGAATGAAAAGCAGTGTTTTCTAAAAAAATTTATAGAATAAATTCTTTGAGTTAATTAGCAACCTTTAGAAGGTATTTTCACGAACTTTTTTTTAGTACTTTGATATGCTTATGTGGATGCTTTCATCACATAAAAGTGTACAAGTATTAGGATTGATCTTTAGTTTATAATGTTTTTAAAGTCTATCGAGGTTTAGAAACAAACTCCATATTCTCTTTTATGTCAATTTAGCTCATTTTTAAACAATCATCTCATCTTATTAGCTTTAATTATTCACCTTTCTTTTATATTTGCTATTTTTGAAGTGTTTTTCACTTTTGCAATACGTCACTTTCTCAGGTCAAGCTTAGTTTAATATTGGTCCAAATCACAAGAAATTCAAATTGACTTTGGATTACATTTGTTTCTCATCAATTTAATTTTCAACATGAAAATTTAAACTAGGTGTAGCTCAATGAAAACCAAAGAAAATAATTAATTACAATACTAAAGTTTAGAGATAAAAGTGAGCAAAAACCATCAAAGTGAGCAAAAAATACTTAATTATAGTATTCAACCACATGCATTGTACGTGCGTAAACCTAGTATATATATTTATACATGATTAGTTACACAATAGTCCTCGTGACATTGTTACAATTTAGACCTCTCATATACAACTATTCCTCTCATATACACTATTACCGAATCTTGTATGAACAAATTGGATTTTAAAAATAGGAATTGCTACGATGACAGCCCCTTTGTGAAGAGAGGAATAATGTATATGAGAGGGCTCGGCAGATCAGGAAGGAATACTGCCTCTTTGCGTGAGGAGAGTAGGGGCGCGTTGGGCGGAGAAAGTAGTGAAGAAGGCAGGGGATTTCAATTTGAGAATCATGAAGGAGATGAGAATCACATAGGAGGATTCGGTTGGAGCTCTGATACCATGGAGAATTATTATGACGTCATAACCCTAATTAGGGTTGCTCGTGATACACACACACAAAAGACTAATTACAAAAGAGTCCTCGTGACATTGTTACAATTTAGACATCTCATATACACTATTGGAGGGGTGTAGGCATCTTTCCTATTGGAGGGATGTAGGCATCTTGTCTACTCCATGAGTAGGCAATAATTTCTCCAACATAAACTCCTTATTCGACAAAAAGTTTGAAGCCAGAAATTTGTTATCAGGAGATTGCAACTGAGCAA